AGTCAGTCATCGTCTAGCACTCTACAGCCAGAATTGGCACCAGAGAACAAAGGTCAAAGCTGTCTTAACTTGGAGTGTCCAGTCTGGGATACCTTATATTTGATTTTTTTTTTTTTTCCAGAATATTAAGTCGCACAGCTCTTTCTGTATTAAAACACAGCCCCCCTTGTCCTCACCTCAAATTAGGACATCAGCAAACAGCTCAAATGATTACTTAAGCTGGACACTCAGACACAGGCAGCTGACAGGTCAGCTGTAAAAAGCCGGACATTCCCGAATGTCACAAACTACAACTTCAGGCAAGGATAAATTCAATTTTCCCAGGAGCATTCACCTCTTCGAGTCCAACTTTTTTATCCCTTCAGCTCCTGGCCGCTAATAAATGACAGTGAGTGCTAAAACAATCTTTGTACGCATTAGTAAGCTTCAGTCGCTGGACAAAAAGGTCATTCTTGCCTAAACATCTGCAGCTGGAATGTAGTTTGTAGCTGGAGAGGTAATAACACGTGCCTTGCCAGTACATTCCTTAACTTCTGGCAACCAAATGAATGGGCTATGACTTGTGGGGGACGACCTGCAGTGTACATTTCCATCATTTTGGATCCCTGATCCATCGATTGGTAGGATTTAAAAAAGGAAAAAAAAAAAAAAATCCTGCTGCCTGATCTATTTAACTGCTGTGGTCACTGGATCGTTCTGGAAAAGCTCAAAGCTGTTCAGTGATCATTTTTGTTAGAAACTGGTATCCCTAGCGACAAAATAACCACGGAATCAAGCTGAGTAAAACCGACAGTGAAAAAATGAAAGAAAATTGAGCAGAATTACATTAAGAAGAAAACAAAGAAAGGAAACAAAAAGCATGCAGTTCTGCGATGTCCAGCCTACTGAGGACTGGCTTCCCACAACTTGTGGTTGATGGTGGGAACCCATGTCCCAAAGAAATGGGGTATTTCCAACGTCTCCCCCAGAACAGGTTCGCTGTTACCCAACTGAGTCTGAGCACATGTAGCCTCCCCTTCTGCTAGAGAACTCATGGGGTTATACTTTATATATTGCTCCTCTAATCTCTCAGATCTTATAGGAACTTCATTTTGCTCAACATTTCTATGATCTGGTTAAATTTGTCTGAAACTGGCCAACGCGTTGGCCAACTGCTCGTCCTTACAAGGCACAAACTGGCACACGGTTTGATTGCACAAGCCTCATTTGCTTAGGAAATTAAGCTAAAGATGATAAATGGGTGTGTATCGATGCCTGCCCATGAATTCCCTGTTGCCGCCTCCGAGCATGCTTCCCATGGTACAACACAGCTCAGAAAGCACTTACCGCCCATCTTTCCTGATTAGATCTTAGTGATTAGTCAAAGTAACATTCCACTCTGAGCAACTAATCTAATGCTTTTTAATATACTACAGTCTCCTTTAGGTCCAAACCTTTCTATTTCGGGACTTCCAATTCAAATTTGCCTAATAGCTTCACATAATAGTCTCTTGCTCCCAATAAATTCCTCATTTTAACTAATTGGTTTGCTCATGAAGAATCACAATTTACACGAGCTGAAGAGGAGATACATCATTAGCCATTACTGAATATAAGTAATACTTGATTAAGGAGATACTAATTTGCTTTTTTCTCAGCATTTGTCAATGATAATGCCAATTTCTACAAGCAGATTAAATATATTTACAACATAATTAATTAAATGTATTTGGAATAGGTATTAAATAACAACATCAATTCAGCATCCTCTTAAATATATGATGTCTATTCATCATAAAGAGAACCCTAAGTGACCACCATACCCAGAAGAAGTCTCTGGTGAGCCAGTGGTTCTCCAGTGCAAAGTGACCAAAGCTAAAGGTGCAGACTGGTTTTATGGAAGGTAACGTAAGCAACAAGCGGAAACACAAGAAATTAAGCAATTTGAATAGCTGCCATACTGAGGCATAAACCAGTGATTTCAAAGTCTCAGTCTAAAAATAAAGAATTGTCTCATTCTATGTAACGGAGCTCAGCCTGAGCAGCTCGGTGAAGGCGAGAGCGCAAGTCTCCAAGGGAGCCAGGAGGGTGGGGGGGGAAGCTGCAGTTTGGGGTGATCTTAAGAAACCTGCTGGGACCACTTTGTGAAGGGAATGGGTACTGTAAACCATCACGATGAGAAGTCCTTTGAAACAAAAATGCTTAAGAGTAACTTCAAGCACTTCAGGAAGCTTCTTAAAGGCAACAGTAAAGAATATTTTTTTTTTTTAAGAAGTATCACTATTTCAAAGCAATCACAACTTCCTTCTGGGTGTCTAACTCCTAATTTTGAACACTTCGGTCCTCAAAGGGAGAGCACGGCATTCCATTAAAGACAACAAATATATATTGGAAATATATTTAAAGAGAAGTCATACCTGCTTGTGGGACTGACTGCTATTAACTACTGGTATGCATAGAATATTTGAGTAACAAATTTTTAAGCCTCTTTGATACAGTTTTTCTTTCCAGGCCACAACAACACCTGTGAACAACACAGATCATCGGGTCGGACGTATTTAGGAAAAATAACTTCGGAGTACGGCTTTGATTTTTTCGCTCATTATCGCTCCCAGTTCAGCTGGAGCCTTGCTCGTGGGGTTGTTTTCTCCCCCTGTAATAAACCACAGGAGCAGGGAGAACCCTGCCCGCGCTCCCCGCC